CCGAGCAGGATAAAGAGTCCTAAATGCAGTGAACCGCTCCTCAGCCTCTTCTGCCTCGGGCCCGGCCGAGCAGGATAAAGAGTCCTAAATGCAGTGAACCGCTCCTCAGCCTCTTCTGCCTCGGGCCCGGCCGAGCAGGATAAAGAGTCCTAAATGCAGTGAACCGCTCCTCAGCCTCTTCTGCCTCGGGCTCGGCCGAACAGGATAAAGAGTCCTAAATGCAGTGACCCGCTCCTCAGCCTCTTTTGCCTCGGGCTCGGCCGAGCAGAATAAAGAGTCCTAAATGCAGTGAACCGCTCCTCGGCCTCTTCTGCCTCGGGCTCGGCCGAGCAGGATAAAGAGTCTTGACGGCAAGCGGTACACTTGCCGCCCGATGTACGATGTCATAAAGACAGGAAAATGTAACGCAGTTCACAAGGAAAAAAAATCAACATTCCAGGCCGTCACTCGGAAGTAACAAATTCTGTCGAGGTTACAAGAAACTAACGCAAAAACGCTGGAAAGTTAGACAATTTTGCGGGCCTCGCTGCAGCGACTGAAGAACGTCCAGCAGCGGCAGGCAATTTAATGGAGCCTAAAAAATGAACAAAAAAATAAGATCCAAGAGCTGGATAATTCTGGCTTTTGACGATAAAGCGGATGGTATTCTTTCAAAATAATACAAAGGCTGAAGAAATAAATGAGTGATGTTTTCAGTAATAAAATTCAGGTGAAATAAAAATAAACGATAGAGGACGATATCAGTCGAGGCAAGCGCTTGACACGGATTAAAGTAAATACTCCTAAAAGACAAGCTGAATTTTAAGTTAACTTTTATTGTTTTCTAAATTTATCTATACAAATCCCAGAATAAATATAAATTTTTATTAATGTTATATTTCAGTTGTACTTGTCGATGGCATTGTAACGGGAGCTTGGAGGAATGATTTTATAGAGATGTAAAAATATTAGTATAATTAGTATAATTAGTATAGTAAACACGAGGTTCTTAGATGTAAATTAGTCAGGTTTATATTTCCCATAACCCCGAAGTTTATTTTTTACGGAAATTTTAAACGAACTTATTATATTATTACGAAAGTTATTTGATCAATTATTCAAACTGTCTTCGAAGAAAAATTAAAATGTGTTACAAGTTTATTTGGCGTTGACGCAGCACATAAATCAAATAAAAATCAGTCATTAAACATGCTGAAAAAAAATCGTAATTATAATGGCAACATTGATGCCTATCTGTATAAGCAGCCAAAATAATCTGTTGTTAATGAATTATTCTCAATATATAGCTCAGCACATTTCTGCAAAAAGGTCACAATTTCAACGACTGCTAATGGCGAGGTATTTATAACGACATCAGCATCGTTGCTGATAATCATTTTTTTATGCTGAAATAACTGAATTATCTGGGACGAACTATCCTCAGATATTTAAATTACCAGTCACGTCACCTCAAAAGTTCGAATGGTTCTCTCGTCACGCCGACCAATGATCGTAAACTGTAAGACATTTCCCTATTGGTTCAGTAAGCAAAGTTTGGGCTGGACGGGATTTTAAAAGCCAACGACAAGCTAAAGTTAATGTATCAATGAAAAACAACAAATTATGATAGTAATAAAACAGAACGGATAGTCTTCCAAAACGAATGCGATATAGGAAACTATTAAAAATCAGCAAATCGTATACTTGGAAGCAAATATAGCTGCAAATCGAACACGAGAGAGAGCTGTGACAAATCGAATGCGAATAGAGAGCTAGAGCTATGAGTTATGAGATAAAGCGCGTGATCCTAAATACAGAAAACAAAGAATAAATACCTAAGCATGACAAATCAATTATATGTTCACTAATATCACAGTATTTCATAATGCATTAGCATTCCAACACTATCGCGTGTAGCAACTTACCCAGACGTCGGAGCTATAATCCTATAAGAGAGTACCAGTGCGTCAGTCGGGATCAGCAGCTTAATAGCTGACGGCTACCAAAAATGTATCGATCATGTTAGGGGCGTTACATCAACGTCCACAAGCGTTACAAAAATGTACCGCATGTGGACGACGAAGGCGGCGCATCAGCGTGACCAGGGACTAGGAGGACCCAAACTCATCATAAGGTCATAAGGTTAGAGCTGGTCACGCTTGATCTTGGCAGTCTATTCGCGAGTGGTAGGAAATTTTTAGCCTACTATATTACATTATCATCCGTGTTATATGTTGAAAAGAATGAATGAACGATATGGATCATTATAATAGTATTTTTAAGTAGGCACAAAAAAATCAGCAAATCGTATACTTGGAAACAAATACCTGCAAATCGAACACGAGAGAGAGCTGTGACAAATCGAATGCGAATAGAGAGCTATAGCTATGAGTTATGAGATAAAGCGCGCGATCTTAAATATAAAAAACAAAGAATAAATACCTAAGCTCACTAATATCATGGTATTTCATAATTTATTAGCATTCCAACACTATCGCGTGTAACAACTTACCCAGGCGTTGGAGGTAAAATCCTGTAAGAGAGTACCACTGCGCCAGTCGGGATCAGCAGTTAATACCTGACGCTACCAAAAATGTATCGATCATGTTAGGGGCGTTACATTAACGTCCTCATGCGTTATAAAAATGTAACGAATGTGGACGACGAAGGCGGCGCATCAGCGCGACCAGGGACTAGAAGGACCCAAACTCATCATAAGGTCAAAAGGTTAGAGCTGGTCACGCTTGATCTTAGCAGTCTAATCACGAGTGGTAGGAAATTTTCAGGCTTCTATATTACATTATCATCCGTGTTATATGTTTAAAAGAATGAATGAACGACATTGATCTTTTTGAATGGTATTTTTAAGTAGGCACAAAGGGTCAAAGCAGTTCCACAGACCAGCCAAAGACGCTGCAGCTTCTCGAAACAAGGCAGGCTCTCTGACGTCACGCCGTTGCCATAACAACCAAAGCTATTCACAACCGTTGCTACCAGGGTTCTTGTCTTTCGAATGATTATCTTCTCTCTATAAGGTACAGGAATTCAAAGCATTGTAAATTCTTCAATATATTAATATTCTTTTCTATAATTCGCTAATGCACTTTCCACTTCTAATCTTCCATGAAGTAATGAAAATATCTATTGCGTGAAAACATTAGCGAATTTTGAATGAAGTTTCCAATACATCATCTGTGAAATATTTCTCCATCGGAAATTTTTCACTAAAAAACAGGACATAATTTATGCCATGGAGCCAAATTTAGGGACGAAAAGTGCGTGCAATGGAGAGGGGAGCTCAGTCTGGCTCTTAAGGTGCTTCCGTTGCTGACGTTTGAAGCGAACGAACGGGAAATGAAGCTTAGCGCAGTTGAAAAGCTTAAACTTCATACGACTGCTATTCTAACGGGAAATGAAGCTTAGCTCAGTTGAAAAGCTTAAACTTCACACGACCGCTATTCTAACGGGAAATGAAGCTTACCGCAGTTGAACAGCTCAAACTTCACACGGCGCGAATGAATGATATAGCAAAGCTTTAACATGTACATGAATATCTCTTCGATAAACATGAAGCAATGAAAAAGATCCGACAGCAAAATGCAAAACTTCACAGCCCCACCAAATCGGAATTATAGTCAAATTTCAGGTTATAATATGTTGTCTTTTTGTTGTTCAGAAGGGTTACTAAGAATGACATTTAGTTTTCCATATTAACTGATACAAGATCATCTGCATAAGGATCTACAGAATATTCCCATTTTTCTTTACGACCCTTAAGCAAGATATTTTTGGATATCGCCATTTTTGTCTTTTGGCTTTCTCATTCAACCTACATTTTATGTTCTTGGCTCATCGAAGCCAAATTCTACAAGAACGTAATCCTGAAGTTTTGCTTCTTTTTACAAAGGTTTGAAATATTTTTCAATTCCTAGCAGTAATTCTTCGCCTATTGCTGTAGATGAATTAAGTAAATACGCAGATGAAGATATTAAATCCTGTTGATTAAATGAATGAAGAGATTAAATCCTGAAGATGAAGAGAAGAATCCTGATGATGAAGATGACGAAGAGAGTTTGGTATCTCTTTAAACGAATATTTGGCGGCGAACGGTAAATTTCTTTTTCAGATTGGAATGTCCTGGGTTCAGGAATGGGAAGATTCTGGGACATAGATTCTGTCCCAGTGTACCCCTAAACAACATTTTGGAATCATTCGGCCGTCGTTTTAATATTACTGAACCAAGTTGCTATTGATCTTGAGTAAATAATTTTGAACGTATTATACAACAATTAATAATGCGGTAAAGCTGTAGTTCGCAGGAGAGGCAATTTTATTANGAACGTATTATACAACAATTAATAATGCGGTATAGCTGTAGTTCGCAGGAGAGGCTCTTTTATTATAGGTAATGCCTAATGAAACATATTCAGTTAACTTACCTCAAAACAAAATACTGCTTGCTGAGGAATGAAGAACAGGACATAACGTCTCTTTCCTGCGTCAATAAATGCACTAACTTGTGTGCTATTACTACCTTATACATAAGTTCACTAATATCCTTTAATATATAAAATAAATGATGTGTCCCACTGAGCCCCATGTACCGCTGTACTGCATTTTCCTCTAACTCCCATGTTATATAAGCATGGGTGTTTTCAGAAATTTCAACCTCTTTTTTATACAAATACGAGGTTATTGCAAAAACGTTCCATTACGGCGTTGGGAAACATAACGCATCTAGATTAATAATTACAAGCGATGTGAAGGTTAGAAATTTGTAAAGGTATTTTGTTCATATTTTTGGACTCGTTCATAAATGTGAACTTTTAGGAATGACAAAGTTACGAGTTCCAAAGATTCATTCAAATAGGATGAACTCAAACAGTTGTTTCTATCCGAAATGCAAATTCCGAAAAATGTATCACCAAACATTGACACAAATTTGAGCTGCTGTGAAAATCTCCATGGTAAAACACAGACCAGAAATACAGTCTTGTATGACCTTGGTTAAGTGCACTAACCGGTTGGAAGACAAGCAAGAAGCAGGGTGATAATTCGTAGAATAGGCAGTCTTGTGATGGAGAAATTCTTGGTTGGTAGCCACTGCTCCATCCAGCAACGTTTGACCGAAAACCACGGACTAGTTTTTAAAAACGACGACATCGCAGTTCGCCCACAAATAAAACGAAACTTGCACGACCGCAAAAATGAAGGTGCATTGAAATCGCTCGTATGACACGGTCTTGAACTAATGCGATGATGGGTGAGATGATTTCTGAGCTTTTGTGATAATTTCGTGATATTTTTAACGGCATAGTCTCTTGAGACTGTGATAAAGACTTGTAATGCTCTGCTTACATTAGTTATATATTTATTGAGTTCTGTCGTGGCTCTCTTTCTTTCACTTGCTGTTGACGTTTGGAGAAATTTGAACATCCCGTCTTTCCACCTGATCGTTATATTATAGAAACGATCTGCGGTATGCAACGAACTACTGTAAAAATTCGATGCGAGTGACCAGCCACGAGGTGTTGGTAGCACGCGATCAATGAAGGATTGAGCCAAAATTTCGGTATTGAAAAAGAACAATAATAATAACAAATTGAATCTTCTCATTGCTAGAATAACGCTACCTAAATACGACGATGGTTTTAATTTCTCATCACCGTGAAATATGTGATGCTGTCTTTTTTGGCAGTATTTCGTTGTATCGTCAACATTTTGTGACTCCGAACCAAAGACTTCCTGAAAATCTGTCAGCCAATGATGTGGAGACCTTTTGCCTTTAGGAGGTTTCCAAGAAGTGTCTGGATCTGCTAGAGCCTTCGAAGGCGATGACCTTGTGCAAGAGAAGAAAGACCAAAAGCTTATCCAATTTTGTGATAGATCTTCAACAGGCGAAGGAGAGCAAGGCCCTTGAGGCGTCGCTTTCCGAACGAGGAACTTCGATCCCATCCTCGACATGGGGGGAGCTGAGTTACTGTCGCTCGTAGACGAGCATGACGATGACAATCTGGAATCTGAAGCCATTGTTTCTCTGTTCTTCCCGACTCCTCCCGTCACTGCAATCTTGCAGCCGTAATTTCAGTTGAACGATGTTTTCGTGGTATTGTGGGCCAAGAATCTTTTGTCAACATGCCAGAATTATTCGTTGTCTATGCTTCTTGAAGAGAGAATAAACTTCAGCGAACCATCGAATGAATGCCAACTTGATCAAGCGCACTTAACGTGATAGACTCTTATAAGAAGTTTAAAGACTATCACCGATTTTTACAGAATATAACCGAAGCTGTAGTGGGGCAGCACATTTTCGTCGTAAGATCTAATAAATGATAGGATGACATTGACAGAATAGATGAAATTATTATGAATGTTTTTACACTGATATTTTCAAAAATAACTGGAGTTTAATTGAGCCATGGATGCAACGACGCGGCTTCGTGCGCTAGAGGCACAGCTAACGAAAGCTCAGGGAAGAGTGAAGCGGCGACAGAGCCCGAGACTGACGCGCCCTAGATTCTCGGGCGGCGTCTGCGCAGTGCGGTCTCGTGGCTGCAGCCAATGGCGTCGCTTCCTGGCACACCAGCAGCAGCCCAACAGCAGAAATAACTGCTGAAGGATCGAGTGAGCCCAAAAGGATTCTTCGACAATTTCATATTATTGCTGTCCTATCTTAAATCTGTTACATTTCTTAATTATAACCCTCTTGAGGTTCCGAGGTGTTATCCCCAATGATTGATTGCTTGTAACCCTGTTCCATATCGTCTGAATCATGGTATTGGCTCAGGCCCTCAGTCCAAACACAAAGCAAAATTCCAATAGAAAATGAAGAATCTTCTTGGGAAATTCGTGGCCAAACTCAAACAGAAATCAATGATGACTCTAGGTCAAACGGAGATATTTTGATGTGATGATACCCAGCGAAGCATGGCATCGTTCCCAATCAAAAGTCTGGTTCTGAGGACCGCTGAACTGCGTTAAATCTATCGTCCATGACGCGGCTGCTATTCCCTCGCTCCAACTATGCAGCATTGGTGGGTGAGGAAATTGGTTAGCCAGGTGGAATGCTGCGCATTATGCGCTGATGAGACGTTAGCTCTTACAGGGTACGAACTATGCATGCTTGACACAAGGAACAGTTGGTGGAATGCTGCGCATTATGCGCTGGTGGAGCGTTAGCTCTTACAGGGTACGAACTATGCATGCCTGACCCAAGGAACAGTTGGTGGAATGCTACGCATTATGCGTTGATGAAGCGTTAGCTCTTACAAGGTACTAGCTATGCATGCCTGACACAAGGAATTCACGCATGAAACGTTAGGGCATACAAGATAATAATTATGCATGCATGCAATAAGAGATATTTGGATAAATGTAGCGGCACAATCCTCTGACTAGACGTACAGACCTGCATGGCTAGAACCATGCAAACACGCCACAGGAGATGTAGGGGTAAAGGCTGCGCTATATAAGCTGAAATAGAAATTACAAACTTCTGAATAAAAAATATTCAAACTTCCCTGTGAGAAATTTCATAATTGGAAAAACTGACCACTAGAAAATTCTTCTCAGAAATGAGAAGATGACGATAATTTGTTCTAAAGTTAATACGATAACGATTAATAGTTCTAACATTCATACTGCTGACGATGATTTGTTATAAAGTTCGTACGATAACGATTAATAGTTCTAACATTCATACTGCTGACGATAATTTGTTCTAACGTTCATACGATGACGATAATTTGTTTAAACGTTCATACTGATGACGATTAATAGTTCTAGCGCTCAAACTTTTGACGATCGAAAGTTCTCAAATTCATACTAATGACGATCAATAGTTCTAATGTTCATACTGATGACGATCGATAGTACTAACGTTCATACTGATGACGATCAATAGTTCTAACGTTCATACTGATGACGATCAATAGTTCTAACGTTCATACTGATGACGATCAATAGTCCTAACGTTCATAATGGTGACGATCAATAGTTCATACTGATGACGATCAATAGTTCATACTGATGACGATCAATAGTTCTAACGTTCACAATGATGACGATCAAAAGTTCTCACGTTCATACTGAAGACGATGGAGAGTTCTTACGTTAATATTGACAACGAGAGGAATGTGAGTTGCGCATCTTGCTCCATTGTTTCATGTTAAACCTATATCTTAATAAATGAATGATCAATATTTATAGATTACTTGACTTGAACTTCATAACGATAACCTATATAACTTTTGTTTATATGGAATCGGAATTTTTATTACATTAGACCACAATTTTTTCTCAAAACTACGGGTACCTGATAAATACTTAAATTTACTCACATCACAGATGACGCATTTTAAATCTCAATCATTCTCCTTGTAAGATTCAAATACCAATTACTGCAACCTAGCCTTAGATTTACGACTTAGATCAAGTCTCATTCTACATTATTAACATATAAGAATATGTCTAGGAATATGCCCATTGCTTCTCGAACACGCGTCATGCAGCCTGTGTTTACAGACGCGTATAGCTGCTCTCACGTATTGCTGGCACAGCTGTCAAGTCTGAACACCTGTGGACAGCGGGGCAATATTATTGTACCAGAGCTCGACTGACTTTCCCACTAGGCTAGCGATAGCGACATGTTTTCAAAACCTTCTTTGATTTGAATGTGAACTCGCACTTGTCTCTTAGATTCTCAAATAGAGCTTTTTTACATTAAGTCTGAGGCATGTAGAATTTAATTTGAGGTGCAAAATGTGATCTATAAGTTTTTTATCCAGCGTCTGATTAAGGATTATTTTCTCGAAAGGTTCGAAAGGGTAAGCTGTAAAAATTCTGGAACATAGTAACACATTGCACCTTAGAATGATTGTTTTGTTACAAACATAACCTGAAGTACAAATATTCAAATAGTGTTATAAAAACAATCAAGGTTGTGGTAGGTTTGCGCATCAAAATTATTCCCGCCCATATAAATACCTAGAACAGAATCGGCACATTGTTTCAACCGCTCAAAACCGGAAAACTTGCCGAGTTTTTCAAGCAAAAAGATTGATAACATATTTTCCGTTTCTGATGTTCTGAGTTCCTGATAAAAGGAACATCTGGTGCTAGCTACGAGTAGTGGGCTGAGGAATGATTACCGGCAGAGGGAATGACTCTTGACGAATGGAAGGATTCCTAGTTTATGGGATGATTCCTGACGAAGACACTCCCCTGCATACCATCACACCCCTGCATACCATCACACCCCTGCATACCATCACACCCCTGCATACCATCACACCCCCGCATACCATCACTCCGCCGCATAGTTAATTCAATTGTTTTCAAATAATTTAAATACTTTCGGGATTCAAACCACTTTGGTCACAGGACCGGTGTTCGATTTCTTTTTCTCACTAATTCCACAGAGAAAGAAATTAAAGAGATCTCATGAAATATACTCAAGTAAAGCGGACGTCTAATTAAAGTACAAGAGTTGTGTCGACAAGAAACCTAATGCATGTCACGTGAAAATAACTTTCAACTCAAGTTGAATTGCGAGGCAAGCCAAACTTCTTCCAGCAAACCGAATCTAAAAAAAAAGTCTTTGTTACCGCAGCGGCAGTTTCTAAACTTTGGCATGGGATTCGACTAATTGGTATTTTTTAAATTTTTCATCTGTACATGCAATATTGTAATGGGAATTGTTATTATTTCAATTTCGAAAACGTTGGGATTTATAAAATTTGTACCGTTATTTAGGCTAATTATCCGTATTTTTTTAATGTTGAATGATAATCAGTGATATCTACCAGGAATTTGGAACTTTTTAGTTGATTTTTAACATTTTTGGTAATTGTTCAATCTCGAATATCATGTAATAAAGACACTTTTTCTCGCTTCTTCGCTTCTGTTTAGTCAAACAGATGCTTCTTCGGTAATTCAACGACTGGCATTCCGCCGCGGGTTTTTCCTCTTTCAGCAAAGGTTCCTTACGGCCAAGTTGTCCGCAGTCCGCATCTTATAGATTATGCCCATTGATGTGTTCTCTGGACCGAGGGCGCCGCCTATTTTTGTCATCAAAGATTCTTTAAAAGTATTCTGCAGAAAATTCGCAGCTTGAACGGAAAATGAATAGCCTAGTTAACATATATAATAACCATGTAACCTCAACGACATACGTGATACTTCTTCAATCTTCATTAAGATGGTGTAGAAAATATCTTGATAGTTGATACCTAGCTACCTAATTATAATACCTATTACTACCTATTAGGTAGTATTAGTCACTATTAGCCATAGTGGCAAAGCAGAGAGTTTTTTAGACTCTCCCTCAAGTTCATTTTTGAGTCCTATAAGTAGACAAGCAAAGTATCATGGATACCAGCATTATCATACATTAGAAATTGGTTTAAATCTTGAGTAAATGAGGAAATTAAAAATGAACTGATTCTAAAAACTCTCTGGATTGTCACTATGCTATTAGCCTAGGTATTAGGTTATAGTTTAGGTAATGCGCTGAGCCTGAAGTCACCAAATGTGGAAATGCAACTTTGCAGCAATGATTTTATGTCATCATCTTACGGCTTTAAACGATATAGCCAATCAAACAAATAAATGAGAACAAACTCATTTAGCCTACTTAATCTCAACTCAACTGTACATAGTGGCAAACCACAGCTTTTTTAGAATCAGTTCATTTTTAATTTCCTCATTTACCCAAGATTTAAATCAATTCCTTATGTATGATACTGCTGGTATCCAGGNAAGCAATGCGGATTGCGGAAGTTGAAAATTTTATGAAATGACATGTTTGCGAAGTGCAAACCGCGATTTTTTAATCAAACAAAAATTTATGACATTCGAGCTGCGAGATTTCATACCTACTGAAATTATATGATATTAGAGCCGCGATATTTCAGACAAAAATAGGACTTTTCCAGACTAGACTCTCAAAACACCGCACTACGCACCAGCAACAATGAAACGTCACAAAGTGTTGCCATATTTATTTAAAAGCCTTTAGAATGCAAACCTACCAATTTACCAAATCCATATAGCTATTCCAACACTGTATGTGACTAAATTTGGCATTTTGTGAGACTAATTCTGGCCACGCTTCAAACTCTACTTAGCTGAAGCGCTAGTAATCATAGGGTCACTAAACTAACTCAAACTCTACTTATTCATAATTCTGACCCTCTTGTGTTTGAATTCTGATTGCTGTGTGAGCTGCCTGCATTGGAAATTTGGAATACAACACGGCTCGGAATTAGAACAGTCACTAGGTATTGAATATTGAACACTACTTAATTAGGCTTTTAATTAAGTGCTATTAAGCTTTTAATTGAGAAAATTTTAATTTTTGCACACAGCTTGGAACAAGCTGTGTGTGTCTAATTCCAAGCTGTCTTGGAATTAGTTTTTATTTGTCTAAAACTGTCTCTTAACTTAATCATCTATTAATTTATTGACCACTTGAAATCAGCAAATACAAGTATACTTAAAGGATTCCTAATATATTCACAGGCATATTTAAAAGTCTCAAACCATAATATTCTTCCTATAAAAACAGTTATTCACTATTTGGTAGAGCCATGTCAACTGTCAAATTTGACACATTTTTCGATGATCTCACCACGTGGCATGCATTGTCTCTCTTTGGATCTCAATATTTTCCCACTAGATGGCCAAGACCTAGTGTTTTTGC